CCCAGCTAGTCCTGCTGGCTGGGGAATTCTGGGAGCTGAAGTATACACGACTTAAAGTTGCCAAGGTTGAGAAACCCTGCCCTAATGGATTGTCTTGCGCACCACGTGGGGTGTATGCACCCCACTTTGGAGACCACTGGCCTAGTTAAAAGGAGTAGAGGTTAAATGTTATCAATTTCTCTGCTCAGCGTAGGACAAACTGGCTGCAAATTTGCAGATCACTGGAGATGTCACTTTGGAAGCAGACTGTAAGTTAGAAGAAAAGAAGCCGATCTCCAACGGTCTTCCCACTGCTTCTGAAAGTCTGGAATATGAAAACAGTGACTAGGATTCTACGATTCTACTGGACAGTCTCTTTCCTCTTAAGTTGCCCTGCAGACAGCAAATATGCACACCCCCACCTGGTGGCAGATTGGCAATAGGATTTTGCACCATACTGTTTTCTGCCAGCAGAAGGACTGATGAATAGCCTGGAGCCCTGGAGAATAGTCCTCACATCATAACTACTGCATGAGGCTGATAAATCTGTTGCTAACAGGTTTCCAGGTACAAATTGAAGTGCTGGTTTTTACCTATAAAACTGTGGTTGGCTCAGCACTGAGATGCCCTAAGGGCCACCTCCTTCAGCTAAGAATCAACAGCCCAATAAGAACATTTCAGAAAAAATGATTTGTAGTTCCCCCCTACCATGAAGTGAGGGGCACTGAGGCCAGCAGGAAATGTTTCTCAGTCATGGCCCCTCCTGAGAAGCTAGATTAACCTAAGCATTATTGTCATTCCAGAAGCATATTAAAATGGAGCTCTTCCAGAAGTCTTTTAAAATGTAATTTATTGAAGGAACACCATATCCATGTTTATATTGCTCTAAGTTCTTGTTTTTAACTTCTGTAATTCGATGACTGTGGATATCTTATATGCATATATTTTGCAATTACCTTTCTGCAATGCTAAGAGTTGCTTGAGCACAGTGGCAGAGAACTCTAATACACAAGCCCTTCATATATTTAAGGCAGTGTATGCTAAGAAAACTCTCCGCTGCAAGGTAAACACAGACCCTACAGCGTTGCAGGGAGGAGGAAGGAACTGCTGGGTAGGAAGGCAGGGGAGGGGGACTGGAAAGGAAAACCAGTGAATTAACCCCCTCCCACATGAATTGATTGATTCAATTTCAAGGCTGCCTGACTCCCTAACAACTCAGAGTGGCTAACAGATAAAAGTAGAAGAAAACAAAGTACATCAAGAGGGAAAAAAAGAAGACAGCCAACCAGAACCAAAACCCCAAAAATAAGCAGCCAGTAACCAGCTAACTACATACTAAATGTACACACACACACACACACACACAGATCCCTTTTTAACCCAGGGCCTGGACCAGTTCTCTTCTGCAAGCGTGTCCTCTCTCAGCATACAGAAACCAGTCGTGTGAAGCCCAGCTGCAATGGCGACAGGCCTTCAACAGGGCATTTGCAAATGAGAGAGCAAAAGGGGGTGACGTTAAGACCCTTCCCCTTGCTGTTTCTCCTCTGTTTTTGTGTCCCCAAGTGGCATTCGTGTTTGGAGGTAGGAGGGAACCTCAGTTGCGGAGCAGATGGATTTGCTTCTTAGAAGTTGGCTCCATGCAAGAGGATGAAGGGGGATCTCAATGGATAACAAGGAGGTCCAAACTCCAGCAGGATCTGCATGGGGCAGAATAAAGCCAGTTGCTCCCCATGTAATCCCCACAGACTGATGTCCTTTTTTTCCTACCCCCCCCTTTATATTATTTAATGACTTCAATGCAGTGTTTATTTTATTTATCAACTTGCATGAAACAGATGGTGATTAAGGACAATTAGTATATATTGGTAGCTGATTTTTTTTTTTTTTTACAATCTCCAGCCAAGTTTAAAGTAATAGGGCCCTAAGCCTTTTGGTAAACATTATGATAGCAAACAGATCTTACTTTTCTCTGCCTCTCTCTTTTTCTCTCTCTCTTTTCTACTAAATAAACATTAGCAAAGTGGCATCTGGTCTGGGGTTTTATTTCTTTTTTATGCCTAATTTGCAGAGGCAGTAGAATTGAATTAGAAAGCCTGCTTTCT